GTTTTCCCCACAATATCCTCCAAAAGTGGATCAAAAACTTAACATCACTGTCTGACGTAATGATCCTGGGTATTTCATGCAATTTCTCAATTTCTCTGAAGTACAAGTCGTATGTACAAGGCATTCAGTGTCCTGTGGCATAGTACAAAACGTGTCGTCGTCGAGAATCAATCCATGATGACCGTGACCGAATCCTTATTTGTTGTGCCTCGAAAGTCCCACAACAAATCCATGCTAAGTCCACAGCTCCTCTAATACTGGTAAAGGGGTGTATAGCCCTATATTTTGTCCCCTTATTTTTTGCCATATGACAAGTCTTACATTGTCTGATGTGTCGTTTTATATTTCTTGCTAGTCAAAGCCAAAAGAAGTGTTCTCTCATGAATGCAGAAGACTTGTCCCTGCCAAAAATGCCCTGAAAGGCCTCCACTATAGCTCTCCTGAAAAATAGACTCCCTCAGTCAACATCTAGGAACGCGCAATTTACTCTAGTAGAACAAGTAACCCTCAATTATGTAGTACTACCCAGTGGGCTTCTCCGGATATTGTTCCCAATTTTTTTTTGGAAATTCTTGTCTGTCTCATAAAGCTGCTTTACTACCTCAAAGTCCACGAAGCAAGCCTACATCACAATGATCAGCAAGTGTCGGTGGCTCAGCGCATCTGCTACACGGTTTGGACTCCCGCCTCGTGCTTAATGCCAATAACTCTACCCAAGTCGCGTGTCGGCCCTTCAATTATTCTGATTGTTCAAGAATTTCAAAGCTTCACGGTTCATGAATAGCGTGAACTCACTTGTCAGCAGGTAATGGCCTCAGTGCTCAAAAGCTCTCACTATAGCATAAAACTCCTTGTCACACGTCAAGTATTTTCTCCTGGAATCATTTAGTTTCTCACAGAAAAAGGCGGTGGGGTTACCTCCCTGACTAAGCAATACTCATATTCCCATGTTGGATGCATCGCATTCTACATTGAACAACTTTTGGAATGCCTTCTCTTGCTTTCTCACTTGCCTTTAAATAGTGGATTTAATGAGATTAAAAATTTTATGGAATTGAGAAAGATTTGAGAGTTTTATTGTAAAATCATTTTGAAGTGTTTTCACGGATAGTTTAAGGTGTTCTTCAAAGTATGAATCCCTCGAAGCTTCCATTTGCATGATCACCATGTTTCTCAATCGTTATATTAGTTCAGCATTGAACTTTTTTGTATATTTTGTAATCTTTCTAGAGTACAAATTGTAAGCTAACAGATAGCCATAAGTCAGCCACTGAAATTTTGAAAAAATTTTGGTTGACTTTTACAAAACTTATAAGTGTTGAGCAATATTTAAAAAGGTGAATTTGAGAACTAAGACATTTTGTCCTAGGAAGGCGAGGCATAAGCCCTCTTAAGGTTCGAGGAATAAACCTCGAAATAAAAGAATTAAAATCTCATAAAATTAAATATAATTCATAAATATGACAAAACAACAACATATTTGTTTCATTCATCATTATAAAGAGATCAATCATAAATCCTAATCTTAAATGTTACCATAAGACAAAAAGTTTGAAACAAGATTTTAAGCTTTAAAGTACTCATTTAGAATTTAAATGCCACAAAGATCATAATCCTTAGTGACCTCATCATCATTTTCATCATCTTTGAAAGTATCATCATATGTAATAATTCTATCATTCTCAAATTTTGTATTATCATCTTCAAAATTGTCTTCAATTATCAATCCTTTTCTCTTAATCCCTATATCATTTAAGATTGAATTCAACATTTATTTTCAAATAAAATAACAAATTAATAACTCAATTAAGTAATCATTATACTTAAATTACTCTTGCTTTTTTGAAGCTCAAACCCCATATTTCCTTTCATTATACTTAAATTACTTTTGCCCTTTTTTTTTTTTTTAATAGAAACCGTTTGAATGTTTAAATTCTCATCTTCACCTATATTCACAACAAATCTTTTCATTGGTCGCCAAATTCCTCGATCAAGAAAAAACAAATGACTTTTACTGTTGGAGACATCATATTGAAAAATCACAATAAGAGCTATTCTCAACCATCTCTTTCATATTTCTTTGTACTATTTCTTTTGAGATGACATACTTTTTTAAATATTTAACATATTCCTTAATAACATCCGACATTTTCTCACATGCTCCAACATAGTTGAATGATCTTTAAATCTTTTAACACCAACAGCAAATCATTTGTCACAAAATTTATATTTAAAGTAAACATATCCCTTCTTTGTACCTTCTCTGGCACTTCAACGTGACTGCCATACTTTCAAGTTGGATCTCTTCTTCTTGCAACACCACCCATTCTAATAAAATAATAATAATAACAATATCATTTAATAAAAATATAATGGGTTTAATAATAATATAATAGTTTTGGAATAGGAAAATTCACATACAGGAAAAAAATAATTAAAGATAAAATAAGTATAAATGAAACATGCAAAACTCTTGTAATCAAACCCATGCCTCATGCTATAACTAATTAGCATTGTTAAATCAAGCACATGCATAAAGCTTTAAATAAAATTCATGCTAAGCATACAACACTACTCTTTGATTAACATTATTAAAAATTTAAAAGCTAAGGAAATAAATTAAATTATTAAACAAAATTATTTAAGAAAGAGGACTATCTTAGATGTCTCAGATTATATCAAATTAGCATTACATTTATCAAAAAAATTTATCATAAACCTACATGAGCATTACAACTTCTACCTTTTTTTTTTAAGCTTAATAAAATATAAACTAGCTATCAAGCAAGTTTAAGTAAGTACTACTTAGTATTTAGGAAAACTACTGCTAATTAGTTGTGATTTACTACTAAACATTAGGTACTTAAATGCACACGACAAACATAATTTAGGTCATCTAAAGCACAGAAACAAAGCAGAGCTCTCCTATTCAACCTACAATGTGATCATATTCAATTGATTAATCGGATATATTTGACAAAATTGCTTGTAAAATTAAACAAAACTAATCTACAAATTATTAAAACCCCAACAACAATAAAAGGCAAATAGAAATTATTACTAAACTCTAAACCAAATACATAGAGATAATCATAACACAAGAAAGCACAAACTCGTTTCCATATGACCATTGCCATAAATATCCTTTTAGCAAAATAATCTTTAAAAACATATTAAAAAAAATTAAGAAATTATTATCTATAAAAGTAATCCTGAAAAACTAAATTTATATTTAAGTGACCAAACATCACAGGAAGATAAGGCAAACAAGAGAAAGTCATGAAGAAGAGGAAGACTCTGATTAACATTAAAGAACACACTCGATAGAAAAGCTCTAATGGGTTGAGGTTGTCAGGCTTAGGCTAACGGGCTCAAGAAGAGAGAATGACGCTCAACAAAGAGCCAAATTAGAAGTTGCTACAAAAAATGGGCTTGGGACGATGCTTGACAGAGAAACAAAGGGTTTAAAAAAGCAGAGAACAAACCCTAACCCCTGTGAGGGCTGCTCAATTGTGTGTGGGTGTATATTGTATAAAGGCATAATATTGGATTAAATATATTAATAATATAAGCATATAAATTAACATAATTAAGAAAATGAGGTGCTACCTACCTCTAGCACCTCAAGGCATTGCATCTCAAGGCGTGCATCTTATTGCTAAAAGGCATAAGCCTCACCTGTACCAATGAAAATTAGGACATAAAGCACTCCTGCGACTCAATTCAAGACTCAAGGCTCACGCCTCAAACATTTTTTCAAAACCGTGATGATGAGTATTGGAGGACTTGAAGAAGCATTGTAATGTAAAGTTTGGATTAAGGAGCATTAATCATGATGATTAGTCGTCTGGATTAAAGCACACCTGTAACTTTCTTCATTGGCTCAATAAAATAAGTTTTTCTACTTAATGGTTAGTCAAATTCCAAGAAAGTGAGTGTGTATGCATAGATGTATGCTAGTTCGGTGCTAAACAATGTAAAAATATCTTGTATTCATTTTTTTTACAGCAGTTTTCTTTAGATTCCTACAAATTTGCTTTATCATCGTTTATGCTTGAATGTTCATTTGGTGATTCAAATCTCAAGACATTTGTGCTCGTATATAAAGTAGATATACTTGTTTGTGCTTAAAGTTAGATGCTCACATATAGCATAGGTAAATTTGTGTCGTATCAATGTTATTGTGGACATTTGTTTGTGATCGCTTATGTGGCTACATATTTAGAGGTTGTTCTAGTTGATTACAAGATTATGTAATAGTAATAATGTGTAATGTATTTTTATTATGCTTAAAACTTGAACACTCTTATATTAAGTTATCACATCTTCTATAAATCTTAAATATCTAATTATATGTTTGTGTGTTTGGTTTAATAATATTCCACGAGTTCAGAGGAGTGTTCAAGCTGAAAATAATTTCAAAAGAAATTCTACAGCATCCATCGCCAATGCTCCCTCCAATCTTGGTCAGCCGACATTCCACACCGTTTCTAATTTATAAATTTACGTAGTTACATAGGTTTGGTGCTACAAATGGATAGAATTGTTCTCCTCCATGCAAGTACTCTGGGTTATACTGCCAAAGTGTTATAACGGGACTTAATATCTTTTCAAGAAGTCAGGTAGCTGTTTAAGCTTTTAAATTTAAATGCAACTATTTGAAAGGCTCAACCAAAAACAGAGATATAGCCCAAGGAATAGCCCAAGAAAAATCTAAATGAATGAAAAAAATGAGCATACGAGTAGGCTCAGATACTTTTTTAAGACCACGGAATCAATAGCTTCACATCCAGAAAAACCAGTAACAGTGATTTCAAATAGTGAAAATCCAAATAAAAAAAATTGTGAAAATACAAAAGCTTCTGCATTACTGTAGCCGCAACCTAACGCCAGTTTCCAAACTGTTCACATTCATTCTTTCGTTTTTGCTTTCCATGAATTGCAAGACAAAAAAAAGGAACACAAGAAAATGGATTTTATATAATGAACTCTGATTTTACCTTCCGGTCAAGGAAGAAATTTCTGGCAGTTCCACAGGAAGTAGATGTGCATCTGATGCCAAGGAAACAAGAACTTTTACAGAAAACTGAAAAAAGTTAGGACAAGTAAAGAAGCAAAATAAAGAACAGTGAAGGAAAAACAAAATACAGGTTCTCAAAAAGAATTCAACCCATGTTTATCATTGTTAATCAATGACCAACTGTAGTACCCGATTTTGCCCACATTAGGTAAGACTTTGATTATTTTAAAATATGCCTAATTTTTTCTCACCTCTCGAATGCGATGATACCGGAGTTAACCCAAACCACGATCGAAATGAAAATACCATAGGGTTACAAACAAAGACTGTTGACACTAGAAAAATAATCAAAACAAACATAAAAGACACCCTACGATGAGAGCGAAAGTGGTGAACACTTAAAGAGCAATTCTGGCAGAGACGACAGCAAATCTGGCGGCTTGGATAAATTTGGGGAAGCGAGGAAGGGTAGATAAACACTACCACAAGACGAGTTGCAGCCGGAGCACCTTTTCACCTTCGGAACAACGCTTAAAAGGACAAACATGGACGTCGACGGCGCTGCTGACAGAAAACTCAGCAAAAACTAATCCTAAACAAAGCAAAGAATATATTTATAATTGTAGAAGAGGAGGACTTGGGTGTCAACACTAACCCAAATAATTGGGCCAACCGGTTCCCTTGACCCCTCCCTGAACCGATCCAGCTGTCCCAGTTGGACTAACCATCGGTTACGTAAAGCCCCGTCAAGTGCCCAAATTGTTTTTATAAAAAAGTACATTTTGTGTCGATCAATTTGAAGTATATTTTAATTATTAATATATTTTATTTAATAAAATATAAAATATTAACTTAATACTACTTTTATTACCTAATTAAATTAATTAAATCCCATTATTAGTATCTAGCATTGTAGCAAATCCACTTTGCAAACCATTTTAACGGTTGTGACTAAGGAGCACAAGTTTTTTCTCTTTTCCCCGCATTCAATTTGCCTTCTTTCGCACTTTCATTTTTCATGTGCTTGGGCATTCCACAATCCCAAAACTATGGTGGGAATCGGTCAGGCGCTGAAGGGCAGCAGAGAGGTGAAGCTCTCAGGTAAGTCAATCTTGCGGGAAATAGACAAAGAAAGATGAGAAAAGAAAGGGGAGAAGATTTTGGGAGAAAGTTATAGTTGGGGTAAGAATGTCATATAATCTTTTGATTTAATCCTTTAATTCCCTAATTTCATCTGTTCATTGCCTTTCTCACGTCCTGGTAACTGTAGCTGGGGGCGGAACCGTGATAGTAGTGCAGTTGACGTGATTGAACCATTTTTTTTACGCGATTCAGCTAGGAGATTAATTTTTGGGAGGAATATAAGTATTTGGAGGGGGCTCATACATACAATAAATGTCAAATTTTGATAACTAAGCAAAATATTTAATTGTCATATCATTAAACTAATAATTCCTTTCGATTATATTGTAATGCAGTATGTTAAATACATTTTTCAGTAGGTGGTAGGATAAGAAATTGGGGAATAGGGAGAGCACAGGTTGGTATGAGAAGTCAATTTCAAAAAAATATGTAACCGAGTTTATAACATGTTGAATTATGTTTAAATTAAGAATTCCTAAAATTTTAAGGGGGGCTTGTGATTCCAGGCAATGTATTCTAGACAATGAGCTCGAGGATTATAATGTGTAATATATTGGTATTAGATTGTATATAAAATTTTTGCATGTTGTTGAAATTTTTGCATGTTGTTGAATACGTGCATATATTATAAAAAAAAAAGCTCAAGTAAACCCTACTAATTTTATTGTTTTTATTGAATTTGTAAGGTATTAATTAAACCAATTGTGCGCATGTATACTTGTACAATTATATATGCATATGAAAAATGATCTTTAACAAGTAAAATGATTAAGAAAATGACACGTGTTATGATAAGTAGATTATTATACAAATGAGCAGTTCAGGTAAAGATTTCCCGACTACTGATATTTAAGCTAGAATAGATCTATTGGTATCAGGAGGTTGTTGATAATTATTATGCTAGGAGATGACCAACATTTACTAGTAGTTGTGATAGCTGATGGGCTGAGTGATGACCCAAAGAAAAAAATTAAGTCAAAGCCTCTGTAGCTACAAATGACATTCCAAAGATGATAGATATTGAGTATAAAGCAGTTAAAAAAAATTCATAGATTTGTGCAAGGGATGAATGAAATACATGTTTGTTATAATTTATTATGCTTACTGCTTCTACACTCTTTTTTACATAGTTCATGTGATTAAAGCATACTTATTTTGTACTTTTGTCACTCATATTAGTCAAAGGTAAAAATACACGTTATTTTATTTTCGTCAATAAAATCATACTTTAACACTGCTTATGCTCCTCAAGTAGGTTTGAATATAGGATCTAAAGATAAATTCTGAAAAGACTTAAAAGACTTAATACAAATGATACCTCTTCAAGAAATAATTTTTATTGGAGAAGATTTAAATGGACATGTGATAGAATGGCAGAAGATTTTAGAAATATTCATGGTACCTACGGCTTTGGAGTGACTAATGAAGAAGATAGAGCTATTTTAGATTTAGATTTAGCGTGTGATTTTTTTATTATTAATATTTTATTGATAGAATGGCAGAAGATTTTAGAAATATTCATGGTACCTACGGCTTTGGAGTGACTGATGAAGAAGATAGAGCTATTTTAGATTTAGATTTAGCGTGTGATTTTTTTATTATTAATATTTTATTCAAGAAAAGAGATGAGCGTCTTATTACTTATAAGAATGGATCCAATAAAACACAAATTGATCATTTTATTACAAGAAAAAGAGATTGTCAAAATTATAAAGATTGTAAGGTCATTCCAAGTGAGGATTTAAGTACCCAACATCGATTATTAGTTCTAGATTTTAAAATGAAGAGTTGTAAAATAAAAACTACTAGGACTCGTCATCGTAGAATTAGATGGAGAAACTTAAAAGACACAAATAGAATAATTTTTATGATTAAACTTCAATATTTCAAAATTTGGGATGTTCATGATGAAGTAAATACTATGCGAGATAAAGTAGCAAATACTATTAAATAAGTAGCAAAAGATGTACTTGAAAAATCAAAAGAAAAGTTTCTATAAATAAAAATTTTTGTTGAAATAATAATGTGCGTGGTGGGATAATAAGGTGCAAGAAAAGATAAAATATAAGAAGTTATTTTATAAAAATTGGTTTAAATGTAAAAGTTTAAAGAACTAGAAAAAATATCAAACGGCCCGCAGGAAGTCTAAAAGAACACTAAAAAAAATATCAAACGGCCCGCAGGGAGTCTAAAAGAACAATATGTGCAGCTAAAAATTCTGCTTTTAATGATCTTTATAATAGACTAGATACTAAGAAGGGTGAAAAATATATGTATAAATTAGTCTAACAAAGAGAAAAGAAAAGTAAATATTTAACTCAAGTAAATTGTATTAAAGATGAAAATGAAAAAATATTATAAAAAAGATGAAAATCAAAAAATGTTTTTCTTAGAAAATGATATTAAACATAGGTAGGAGAGTTATTTTGATAAACTTTTTAATAAAATTTCTGAAAATATAATTGACCTTAGTGATCTTAATATCATTAATAATAATAAAACGTTTCATTTTTACTGTCGCATTAGTAAAAAAGAAGTTGATGAGGCTTTAAAGAAAACCAAGGGTAGAAAGTTTGTAGAATCTTATGATATCACAATTGAAGTATGGGAATGTTTAGGAGATTTGGGAGTTTCTTGGCTCACTAAACTTTTTAATATTATTTTAAAAACTAAAAAGATGTTTGAGGAGTGGAGGAAGAGGTTTGGTCCCATTTTTAACAATAAAGGGATGCATAAGAGTGTGCAAATTATAGAGGAATAAAGTTGATGTGTCATACTTTAAAATTATGGGAGAAGGTAATTGAACATAGGTTAAGATGTATTACAAAGATTTCTCATAATCAATTTGGATTTATGTCGGGCAAGTCTACTATGGAAGCTATGCATTTATTGAGAAGTTTGATGGAGAAGTTCAAAGATAATAAGGAGAATCTACAGTTGACTTTTATTGATTTAGAAAAAACTTACGATAAGGTTCTAAGAGATATCCTTTGGAGAGTTCTTGAGAAGAAAGGTGTTGATATGACTTATATTCAAGTCATTAAAGATATGTATACTAGAGTTGTTACTTGTGTTCAAACTTATATCTGTTGGATTAGATCAGGGATCGGCTTTAAGCCCATATCTTTTTTTTCATTAGTTATGGATGGGCTTTCTGGAGACATTTACAGGAGGATGCACCTTGGTGTATGCTTTTTGTTGATGATATCCTTCTCGTGGATGAGACGAGAGAAAAAGCCCAGAAAAACTTTGAATTATGGAGGTCTACATTGGAGTCTAAAGGCCTTAATTTGAGTAGAACTAAAACTGAATACATGGAATGTAATATTAGTAGTAGCTCTAGTGACAGAAGTGTAACTTTGGGTGATCAAATTATTGAAAGGTGTGAACGATTTAGATATCTCGAGTCTGTTGTTCAAAGCATTGATGATATAGATGGGGATGTTAATAGTAGAATTCAAGTTGGTTGGTTGAAGTGGATGAATGCTATGAGCCTTTTGTGTGATAGAAAAGTACCGCTTAGACTGAAAGGAAAATTTTTTAAGATAGTGGTGACACCTGCAATGTTCTATGGCGTTGAATGTTGGCCTTTAAAAGAGAAACATAATACTAAGTTAAGTGTTGCCGAGATGAGAATGATTAGGTAGACGAGTGGATTTACACTCGCTTTACACTTAGAGACATAATGCGAAATGAATATATCTGTGATAGAGTTGGTGTAGCTAGTGTAGCTTCTGTGACGGACAAAATTATAGAAAGTCATCTTAGATGGTTTGGTCACAATAAGCGTCGACTATCTGATGATCCGATTAGGAGAGTAAATGTTTTAGATTAGACTTATGTTAAGAAAGGCAGAGGTAGACCTAAAAAAACTTAGGCTTATTGTATAAAAAATGATCTTAATTTATTAGAACTAAATGAAAATATGACACTAAATAGTACGCAATGGAGAAAAAGGATTCATGTAGCCGAGCCCACGTTGTGGGATTAAGGCTTTGTTGTTGTTGTTATTGTTGTACTCCTATATGTTATTGATTATAAAAGAAAGGTAATGATCATCAGAGTGATCAGCCAGTTGAGCCTTTGTACATCTTTTAAATTATAAAATTTTGGAAGCATTCTGAAGACTTTTGGGGAATGTACTTTTATATGATTAATGTTCAGCAACTCTGCATATGTTTTACGACATGCTGATGCATGTTTAATCATATGAGAAAACGAATGAAATTCAAATTGAATTGGATTGTGAATGTTTGCAACGAATGAGTGAAACCAATTCATGGCCCACTTAGTCCTGAGTTGTGCAAATCAAAAATAGGCTTGATGAGAATCATGTCTAGTTGAGTCATCCACCACTATTGTATTATTATTTGACCCTAAGAGGGGTCAACTGTGTTGTGACACCAATAATGCAAAATTTTGAAAACATTAAGTTTTGAGATCAATTTTATAGCAATTTAAAATTGTTACATTAAGTTTTGAGATCAATTTTATAGCAATTTAAAATTGTTAATATGCGAAGTAATAGGAATTTTTGGTTGTTTGCATGGTAACTATGTACCAAGCAAATTAAAAAAATAAATTTGAAGAGAGATTATAAGTCAAAATCATAGCACATAAGATTACTTTGCATTTAGCATTCACCAGATTCGCAAAAACATTTTCAAGGAAATTTGTTTTTTTTCCCGGCAAGCTAATTAAAATAACTTCACAACGAGTAATAGAATTTAAACAAAGGCTGCATTTACAATTTAAGAAATTAAAAAAAAAACTATCATTTTGCTGAAAGTATAAAGCTGAGCAAAGAATAAAAAAAGAGGTCGATGTAATATAATTTATCAAGTTGATTATTCAGCCAAATTAGCTCACAAAGGTCCTTATAGATCAATAACAAAAATGTCAAACCAAACTATAAAGGAGTTAAACAAGACCAGTTTTAGACCTATCTTGAAGTTAACCCATTTAAATCTCTTCCAATAAAAATTCTTTCTAGATATATCATTCGTATTAATTCTTCTAAGTCATTCGAAAGTTTTCTTTTGAACTTATATCTAAACCTACTTGAAGAGCATAAATACTTATAACATTAAGAATTTTAGTAGCAACAACAATCTTTAGGATTATAATTCTATCTCCAATTCTATTAATTTTTACAATATTATCTTTCAAAATCTTAACTATAATTACACCTACATTATTTTAGTGTGACTCATGCCTGAATACCAAAGTTTAAAATTTAAGCTGTCAATATCCTTAGATTTTTTCCAACCCATTTAGTTACTTGAATGCATAAAATATTTATCTTCCTATCAACCATAATATTTATTAATTATATTAATTTACTCTTAAAAGTATATATATTCCAAGATCCTATCTTAACATTAATTTTGTGGACAAATTTTTTTGTCCACATCCGTCCATAAGGTTAAAACCCTATTTTATGTAAAACTACAACTAGGTGACGATGGAGCGTATAAAATTTAAATCAATGTGAAAAAAACAATTATACTTATTTTATCCATCAACCAATCAATATTTTGAATGCCCAGACAAGGAGTTCTCCATATTACCCTATAAAGAATGAGATTATACTTAATATATTTAAATTTAATCCCATAAATTTTAAAAATTTAAGCTCCTGAATTTACCTTTCACCAAATTAAAAAACTTAGAAGTATTTCAAATATACTACATTTCAATTAAATTATATTCGTTTTATATATTTTCTTTTTAACAAACCAAACAGCCCATAGGTAAATAGAAACTATTAGGCAGCAAAGCCTACAAACCCAAGAAATCCTCCATTTTATTGATCTCAATGCTACCAAGTGAAGGGATATGGGAAAAGAAGCCGAATCAAGTTAATTATAGCCAAGACCAAAAGCTCAAGAGTAGATTAATTGTAGGAATTGTGCATATCAACCAATGAAGTGATGTAGGTAATTGTTTTAGCTATTCTGCTAAAGGGATAATCGATTGTAGTCTGAAAAAATAAATAAATAAAAATTTAGAAAGCACGTGCTCTTTTTAATAAAATTACATCAATATGACGTTGGATATGAACATTCATTCAAATGCAAAAGGATTCCCATCACGGTATTTTGGAACTTAACACACCGATACATAAGATCTGTACAGCCAAACAAGAACATAACTGAATGTATGCCGTGTCTTCAGGAAGGCAAGTTATGAAAAGTTGTCGGAGCATGGTAAATTAAATATGCCAAGAGGAGGGATAAGGAAAGCAGCAGAAGCCAAAAATTTTTCTTGCAGATGCAGCACCATACTGCGAAAATGTGCAGAAAGAACTGGCACAAAATAAGATTCTAAGGCAACCATGAGCCTGCCGCCCTGTCGATCTTTGATCTGTCCAGCTACACATTCCTCTAACTGAAAAGTTGTGGATGAATGGATATATGTGAGGATCCCAGGAACTGTTCAGTTGATCCAAGCCCAAACTGAACATCATCAGCATAGATCATCAAAACACCACTACAATGTCGAAGAATGCATAGAGACATCAAGAATAGAAGCAAAACATGAGAATAGTTTGGACAGTTGACACATCATAAATCCTACCCCAACATGATTCAAGTATTAATTATGCTACACAAATATTTCATTGTCATATCCAACACCTTAGAAAAGTCATATATTTTCTTTCAAAAACATGAAATCAGAAAATTTCAGTACAAAATTGGTTCCCTCCCATGTTCTGCTGATAAATTTTCAACAAAAACGTTCAAAAACATGTTTCCTACTAAGGATTCAACTTCCATAAGAAATGGTACAAGATTCAGAAGAATTAATCATTAGCAATGTAATTCCACATAATAGTTTAAATGTGTTGAAGAATTAGGAAGATTGGTTAAGGACAAAAACATGATTTTTTTTGTCTTATTATACGAATGATCAAAACAACAAAACATGTTCCCTAATAATGATCCAACTTCCATAAAAAATGGTACAAAATTCAGAAGAATTAGTCATTAGCAATGTAATTCCACAGAATAGTTTAAATGAGTTGAAGGATTAGGAAGATTAGTGAAGGACAAAAACATATTTTTTTTGTCTTATTATAAGAATGATCACAACAACAAAACAAAAAAAATGGTCTCTTGATATATAACATATTCTTACCTAACGCTGGAGGCCTTGAAGCAAAGTGTAGTGAACCTAATGTGTTTGATTCTGAGAATGCAAGCAATGCCATGCGCCCCATAGGATCCCAAGCAGCACCCTATCAAGAAAAGCAAAATTTGCATCAAGTTGTCTTCCATGCAAATATAACCAGTTACACTATGATTATAGGAGGAGAATGCAACAGAAAAGGATGGTTGATTACATAAATTCAGTAAAACTCGGAACTTCAAGCATGCGTGTATTGCCAAAAAATTTATTACAAAAAAGAAAAATATTTAAACCATTTAAATTATTGTTGAAGGTTAGGAGGGATAAATGATAAGCTTGGGTAACGGCACGTTCAAAATGATTTGCTTAGAATAAATTTAAGGAAAATTTATATACATACCACTCAATTCCTATGTATTTACATATCTAACTCCTAAACTTCATTTATGGCATGCATCTTACCTTATCTATGCATGAAAGGGTGTATTTCACCTTTTTTTAAGTTAAAAAGGTGGTATTTTTTATGTGAGATGAAAGATTTGAATGGTAAAAGTGCAAAAAGTAAATTTAAGATGTTAGATATGTAAATCCATAGGAATTGGGTGGGTCTAACTAATATCTCAAGCAGTATGCAAGAAAAATGAATGTAAAATGAAAATTCACAAAGCCGAACTCAATTGGGATAAGAAATTTAATGATGGTGGTGATGAAGATGAAGATCAAAAGAGTTTAATGAACTATTTTTGAAGGCCTTAAATAAGTCAGCATAGTTGTTCAGACATAACTCACCGTGACATACCCACCAGTTGAAGACCACGGTTCTGATGTCCATGTGTTAGTCTCCCAGAGATAGAATGTTCCATCACTGGTAGTCAACAATGAAATTGAAATTCACAACCAAATTATTCTACACAAAAATTTCACCATAAAGTAGCATAAAAAACTAAGGAAATGTTGCACATACCTCATTGTAGTTAGGAGATAATCTCCAGTTGGTGACCACTTTAAAATAGATACAGCCCCCAATCCTCGTCGTATTGGTGTTCCTGCACCTAAAGATTAAAATTGGATTTTTCAAAATCAGGAAACAAGCACAGAAAAATAAATGAAAATAATATGAAACAAGGATGGGGGAATTCATAAATGAAGTTAGGGTAATGCACAACTGTTAACATTACACAAATTTTTGGTTTGCATCTATTAAATCTTAATTAACACCCTTATATCATTTCTTTAATGTTAGAAGTTATATTAGGAAATAATTTATTCATGCGAGAAGTTATGAGGAATAAATTATTTCCTTAGATCAAGGAGTTATTTCATTTCCTATTTTATATTTATTTTATTGGATTAAGAACTATTTCCTTTCCTATTTTAGGCTTTCCTATTTTATGCTAATTCATTTATCTTCTAATAATTAATATGAATTGATTATTAGAAATATTAGGTGATATATCTTTTCTTTCATGTTATTTTCTTTTTATTGGCTTTCCTATTCTATGATTCATGTAAGGGTTATTTATCCCCCCTTTCATATCAATAAAATAGTCATGTTTTATTCCGCATTATTCTGAAATTCAACATGGTATCAGAGTCAAATTCACTACCGTAGCCTCCGATCCTCCCTCCAAAGCCGCGGGACTCCCTTTCTGCCATCTTTCCTGTGGGAAGGGAAGGGCATTGTCTCTCCCCTCTCTCACACATTCTTCGCTCAGTCTTCAAGTTCTCCTTAGAGATGGAGGCGACGAACTACGAAAGAAAAAGTATTCTAGTCGTTAATAAGGGAAGCAGCGCTATCTGAGATGGAGGGAGCAGAAGGTGAGAGGACCGAGTAGTGACCTCTTGGTTGCAATTTTCTCACGGATCGGAGTAGCAAATCTTATAGCCGGTTTGTCATATGTGTGCTCAGTGTGGCGGTATGTTGTGGGGGATCCATTTTGCTGGTGTGTGCTCAACTTCGGAAGTAGGAATGATATTTCTCACCGTCTAAGTTGTCGGCGCGATGAAGTCGTCTACTTCGTCGATCTGTTTGATTCCGCCATCATCTGAAGTGAAGAGGTTGAAAAACAACATAAACTTGGAGAGAAAATTCGTTCCTTCTTATTGATGCAATACTCGGTAGGTACATTTACATATAGGAATCCCACCTCCTAGATAAGGAAAATAACTAAATATGTTACATTATTTCCTATTACATTACAATGCTAATTAAGCATGATTTTTACAGCTACCAAATAATATATAGAAGGAAGGATAATAAATTGTGTATAAGAGGAAAGAAAATAAATTCTGTAATTCAAATCAGATCTTTTAGCACTCCCCTCAAGTTGGCATGAATATATCTTTCAGAGACAGCTTGCACGCTAAACCGTCAAACTGTTTTCTGTGAAAACCTTTTGTTAGAATATCCGTCGCTTGGTAGTTGGAAGGAACATGCACCATGCAAATATCTCCTCTGTCATTTTTTTTTATGAAGTGTTTGTCTATCTCCACGTGCTTTGTTCTATCATGAAGGACAGGATTGTACGCGATGGCGATGGCGATGACAGACTTATTATCACAGTACACATTTATTGGTGGTGGACTATGAATTTTTAACTGCTTGAGAATTCTTCTAATCCATATAACTTCACATATCCCATAAGCCACATATCTGAATTCAGCTTCAGCACTGCTTCTTGTCACGACACTTTACTTCTTACTCCTCCAGGTTATTAAGTTTCCTCCTAGAAAAGTGCAGTACCCTGAGGTTGACCTTTGAGGTTGGGTTGACCTTCTATCTGTAACACTCCCAGCCCAATCTACATCTGTAAATGTTCCATCTGTAAGTGCTCATTTTTCTTGAACAATAGTCCTCTTCTGAGCATTCCTTTCAGATACCTAAGAATCAGATACACAGTCTCCAAGTGATGAGTATTTGGAAAGTGCATAAACTGACTTGTCATGCTTACGGCAAAGGCTATATCAGGACGAGTGTGTGACAAGTAGATTAGTCTTCCCACTAGTCTCTGATATTGTTCTTTATTAACATCATCTATTCTGTCTCACTTGTAACATTTTCTTTGGTTCAATCGAGATTTCAGCTGATTTGCACCCAAGCATTCTGGTTTCGCTAAGTAAGTCGAGTGCATACTTTCGCTGATTAATAAAGATTCCCTTCTTAGGGCAAACTCAATACCGAGAAAGTACTTTACAGCTCCTCCCTTCTTAGATCTGGCAAACTCAATACCGAGAAAGTACTTTACAGCTCCAAGATTTTTCTAGATTTTTAATCTCGAATTCTATGGCCAATCTTTCTTTCAATGTCTCAATTTTCGTAGTATCATTTCCTGTAAGGATAATATCATTGACATAGACAATGATTATAGCGAGTTTACCAGTTTCTGAATGTTTGTAAAACAGAGTATGATCAGCTTGACTCTGAGTGTATCTATATTTTGTAATCACATTTCCAAACTTCACAAACCAGGCGCGAGGAGATTGTTTGAGCCAATACAAGAATTTTTTCAATCTGCACACCTTGTCTTCTCAAAACTTCTTCTCAAATCCTGATGGAAGATCCATGAATACCTCCTCTAATTCACCATTTAGAAAAGTGATTTTAACGTGAAACTGATGTAAGGGTCAATCACGGTTTGCTGCTATGGACAGTAGAACACGAATAGAATTGATTTTGGCTACCGAAGCGAATGTCTTTTGATAGTCAATTCCATGAGTTTGAGTGAATCATTCGCTACTAATCTCGCTTTGTATCTTTCGACACTCCCATCAGCTTTGACTTTAGTAGTGAAGACCCATTTACACCCAACAGTAGACTTATCTCTTAGTAAAGCAACAACTTCTCAAAAGAGCATCAATCTCTTCCTTCACTGTTATTCTCCAATTTAGATTACTGTGAGCTTCCTGTATTGTTCTGGGTTAAGACAAATTAGAAATTTTTGACAAAAAAACTTGATGTTCGTGTGAGATTTTTTTGTAAGATAGGTATTTCGAAATGAGATGTTTGGTAGTATAAGGAAGTGTTCCTTTTCAAAAGGCTATAGTAAGATCTAGATTCATAACCTCTGAATCTTGAGTTTCTGTTGGTGAAAAAATAAGGTCAGGATTAGAAATTACATGTGTTTCTTAAGGATCATCATTCGGTTCTTCAGATTGGGAGGGAGCTAAAAATTCAATTTGGACATTTTTCCTTTTATGGAGCACCTTCCTGAGGTTCTGCTGTTGTATTATGCAGTATTTCTCCCCCTGTATTAGACAAGATAATTTCAGCGTCTCTTGACTAGGTTTCTCTTGGGTTTTATTATTTTCAACAACTATTTCTGGTTCATTGTTTTCAAGGACTTCAGGTGTACTTAGTGTTAGAACAACTCTTGGTAATGGAATAGAAACTTGCCAAAAATCATCTTCTCCATCTATATTATACTCCCCCTGAAGTGAATTTTTGTGAAAGAAGGGAATTTTTTCCATAACGATCACATCCATACTAATGTACGTTTTTTGGTGACGGGATTAAAGCATTTGTAAGCCTTTTTGTTTGAAGCATATCCAAAGAAAATGCATTTTTCAAATTTTGGATCCAATTTTGATCAAAATTTATTCGGAATATGGACGAAACATGTGCATCCAAAGATTTTTAAAGGAATATTTGAAGACATTTGTAAAATTGCAAAACTATTTTTCAGTTTGTTTAGAGGAGTTGTATATTGTAAAACTCGATTTGGCATTCATTGTATTAAATAAGAAGCTGTTAAAATAGCGTCCCAGCATAAATATTTAGGAACGTTCATTGAAAACATAATAGTCCGAGCAACTTCAAGTAAATGTCTATTTTTTCTTTCAGCAATTTCATTTTGTTGTGAAGTGTCACAACAAATGAATTGATGACTTATATCTTTATTTATTAAAAACTCTCCTAAACATTCATTAAAGTATTCAGTTCCATTGTCAGTTATAAGGATGCATATTCTAGTTTCAAATTGAGTTTCAATCATGTTGTAAAAATCTTTAAAAAGTTTTTCAACTTCTGATTTTTTGCTTATAAGATAAACCCAATATATTCGGATGTGATCGTCAATAAAAGTCATAAATTCCATTTTTTCATATCATGTTTTAACTTTTGAAGGTCCCCAAACATCACTATGGATCATGAAAAAAAATTTTGAAGAACAGTAAGGTTTTGGAGCAAAATTTATGCGATGATTTTTTGTCAAATAACATGTTTCACATTGAAGTAAAGCACAATTAACATCATTAAACAAATTAAGAAACAAATCTCTTAAATAAGAAAAACTTGGATGGCCTAGTATAAAATGTGATTCCATTATTTTTTCTAATGTAGGGTTCGAACTTATACTGTTATAAGTTTGAACCATTTTTTTACTAAAATCAGTATCCTCAAAGTAGTAAAGTCATCCTATTTTTTTAGTTTTCTCAATCATCATCCCCAACTTCTGATCCTGGAAAACACAAGAAGATTCATAGAAAATTACACGGCAGTTAGAATCCTTTGAAAGTTTGCTGACGGATAGAATGTTATATTTGAGTTTTGGAACATGGAGTACAGATTTAAGGTCTATAATCTTGGACAGGTTAATGTTTCATTTTCCAGCAATGGAAGAGAAACTACCGTCAGCAATACGAACATTTTCATGGTCAGAACATGGGATGTTGAATCAAAAAAATTGTGTAAATTTGGCATATGATCAGAAGCTCTTGAATCAATAATCGAAGGGTTTAGTTTTCTATTTGCATGTACCATCTAGCAATTTGGAGTACCAGTAGCCAGACTAGGGTTTAGCAGATTCAGGAGTTGATCGAATTGCTCTTTGCTAAATGAGCTGGTTTGTTCGGCGGCAGCATTTACAGTAGGTGGCTTGCGTTTGTTTATTGACTTCCAATTTGCAGGTTTACCGTGGAGGTACCAGCAGATTTCTCTAGTGTGTCGTCGTCTGTTGCAATGATCACACCAGACCCGGGTTTTCTCCTCATTCATCTGTGAATATGGAACAGTCCACTTGCTGATATGAAACTCAGAATGGAATGTCGAGGTCTC